TATTCATGATATTTTCTTGAATCTCCAATCTATTGACATTCCTTGCTAAAGAGAAAATCATAAAAATAAAGTTGTTAGAGGGTCAAATCATAGATTTCCCTCTAATTCTTTGCAGAAATGTTTGTGTGAAAATTGCTTTTTTACACTTTAATGAGTAGGAGAAATTTAAGACTGATTTTTCTAGGTGGATTTTTGTGAGAAAGAGTAATTTAAAATTACTTAGACAAATGTTCAAAGGAAAATAAACAAGTAAAAAGCAATTATAGAGATATTACAAGGAACAAGAAACTACCTATGTAGGAAATATATTGGTATACTTTATGGCAGTCAAGCTGAGGAGTCATAGTCATTTCTGCCATATAGAGAAGTTTTCAATTGAGTTCCAAAAAACAACAAATTAATTACAACTACCAATCAGAACAAGGGTTAACATTATCCTTCACCCTTTAAGTCCTAGGAGTGATTAACATGTAATTCCTCCATATAATATCAACATATTAACCAGCAAACAGGTAATGAAAATACTCAAACTCATCAGGAAGAAGTTTTTATCTTGATCTTGCACCAAATTCCCGTAACTAATTTACAAGGAATTGTGTAGCAGCAAGTGGAGAGAATTAATAATCAGGTCTTGGGAGTTAAAGGGTTAACCAGCAGAACTCAAAGTAAAAATGGACAAAGTGATTGGAGCACAGGAAAACACAAGTCATCAAGTTGGGTTGGTTTTACTTTTAAATCTGATTGGTTGAGAGAGTGGCCTACAAAAAAGCAAAACCAAATTCGATGGTCTATTAAAAATTGCTCTACACTACCAATGATAAGTTTGCCAATAGGATTCAAAGGGCCATATGGAATAAGCCATTTCTGTAAAACAATTTGCAACCATTTACTTACTTCTTCAATAGCTCTTCTCAAGTTTGATTCTATAACACCTAAGTCGATGTCCTCCATATCATTCTTCTTAAATAGCATTGCTACATCAGGCTCCATAAATGTTGGATGGTACTCTCGGTTAGCTATTCCTTCTAAGTGGTCATAAGATGTCTCATTAACTGAAGATCCACATGTTAACTGGGGTGCAGGAAATAATTCAAGGGATGTAGGACCTACTGCACCGACAACAGGACTGTGAATGAAAAAAAATCAACAAACTGAACATATTAATTTCAAAAAGATTGTTGGTGAAGAGAAATTCACTTGCTATAGAGGAAAGAAAGAATATCTGCCTTCCACCAAGAAACAAACTTCAGAAATCTCAGATTTCACAGGCACACACTCTAAACCTGAGCTTGAGAAAACTCATGATCAACCCTTTCAATCCCATGTAACTTCTCCTTACAGTAACCATACATTATCCAGCAAACAGGTAATGAGATCTCTCAAACCCATCAGGTTCAAGTTATTAACATGATCTAACACCAAATTCTTTTTACTGATTGACAAGGAAATGTTTAGCAGCTAAAGAGGAGAGTTTACAATCAGATGTTTGGACTAAAGGCAGATATGGCTCAGATATGGTCCAGATATGAAGTATTTAAAAAAACTAGAAGCCGAAATATTAGAAAATGAAATAACAGTCAAATAATAAATCCCTTATTTGATGGCTTAACATAGAATACAAGCAGATATTTTGCTCATTGACCATATTTTTCCTTGCCCCTACAGGGCTCAGAAAATGCCAAGCAACTTGCACATATCCATGCATATAACTATAAATTTTGGTGTATGACTGAAGACTGAATCCTCGCTGGTGCCTTAAAAGTTTTCTTTGTCTTTATGCAAAAATTTAATGCTTGACATTGTTTGCTGAACAAAGATAATAATGAAAGAAATTCATACAACAAATAATTTGCTTATGATGGCAGCAACATTTAAGCAACACAAATAAGTTTAAATTTAATATTTGTGTTGTAACTTTGTATCATATGCAAACTTAACCACCTCAAATAAATAACCCTTAAGTACTGATAATACCCTCTCTGACCGACCTCATGCCCAGAAAAAAATAACTCTTTTGTTTTGACCTCACAGCTGACTTATTCAGACTGAAAATCAGATTCAACTTTTCTAAAAAAAGAAGACTGAAGACAAAACTGAGAGTTACATTGCCAAAATCAGTTCTGAACTTGTTTAAATATTAATATCAACTTCAAGTTGCCCACAAACTGTTGAAAGCTATTCTAGCTATCAATTATTAATTACCACTTCCTAATTTCCACAACAGACTGCCAAACCATGAGATATCTTAATTAAAAAAACAAATATTACGCATGCTGATGATAGGGAAAATTGTCAGTGTGCTGAATGAGGGTATCTTGATCTTCGGAGCTAACTTGAAAATTTTGGAGTCCCCCGTGGCTGTACCATACGCATACGTTTGAAAAGTAATGTAAACAAGCTTATCAAAACTACTGCATGCGAGGGCAGGTGGAGAGGCCATTAAAAAAATTCTGATGACACGCAAAGGTATCGGTGATCGACGTCAAATAATATCGAAAAAACTGTCTCAATTTGGCTCATTCGCTTGAAAAATCGAATGAAGATGAATTTACAACAAAATTTTCCTAGTTTTTCCGACCAAATGTAGTTGCTTATCCACTAAAATAATAATAAAAAAAACTTCTCCGAAACACTGGTTTTTGCTAACATTTGTCAGACTGAGGTGAAACCTGTAAAACTGTATTGATTCATGCAAAACCAAGTAAGTATTTGATGCCTTTTTAAAGTCACCATCGGTTTCCAACCCACTCGATGATGGCTGGTTAATCCATCGCCAACTAACACATAAACAAGTTCTCATTAAAATAATTCTGCAATCAAAGGAGTAAAAAATACCGAAAAATAATTTCTCTCCTAACAACCAGAGCGGGTTTACAGTTCATTAGTACTTTGTACCGCGAAGACTTCAAATGCAAATTAAACACGTTGCCTCATTCGTGTTTATCTCGTGGCTTCAACTGAACGTCACAAACTTCAAAATCATAACTTCAGATTTAATTTTAAAATAATCCGCTTAACAGAAATAATTCTTGTAGCGAAAAAAATGGAAGAAAGTGACACGTGAAAAACAGGAGTAATCTTCGTGATCGGCCGTGTCCGTAATATGCGCTATGCATGGCCTTGCCGCACGTCAAAACAAACCAAGTTTACACTTGCCAATTAAAGGCTACTTTAGTCTACAATTTCACGGATACACTCACCTCAGTCCCTGAGATCTGCCCTTATTGCACTGGTCGCAGTTTGTTTTCCTACCGCTTCCCGTCTTAGGAGGGTTAGTTTTCGTTAGAATCAATAACACGGGGTCGGATTTCAGAATATCACCTTCACTGCTGGCCCGTACGACTCCATCTCGTTCGTTTAGAATCCAGTGTGTAGCCCCCATAGTATCTGAACTCCATAAACTGGCCGAGACAATGTACAGAGCCAGGTACGGGAAATACGGGTAATCCCCACTCATCGCTGGGGTTGCAACAAGGGTGAATTATATTGAAAGTACTAAAGGATTATGGAACAACATACACACATACAAAATCGACTTTTGGTAACGCTCCCACTGAGCATGCCCTGTGAGTTCTCTACTATAGCAAAATGAAGTGATGTATCCCGGATTGAAAACAAAGAGCTCCTAGACAGGTTAATTTTAGTCGCTATGGGTAACACAGCGGTAAAATCGTCTATGATATTTTCTGGTTTCAGAGTACTCCATATTTCTGGTAATTCTATGTCTGGTGTAATACGAACAATAAAAGAAGATAACATGGGGAATACTCAAACTAACGCCTCAATTTTTTGAAACTTGTGACTAAACATCTAAAACGTGGGAACAACTTTGGTGCCTTTTTCCGGGGGGTAGAGGGGGTGGGGTAAAATTTAGAGTTTTTTCACACCTGGATAGATTTCCTAGGATATTGTTTTAGGAACAAAAGGGTTCATCAGTTTCAATATTGCAAATTATCATCCCCACACATTGCGTCTCATGTGGGAGTCGTTTCCAGTCATTTCGCGATGCCATATAGTTACATATACTGAATAGAGGGGGTAAGTTTCTTAAGAAACTGTAGATGTAGTGCTGCGTTGGTGGGGAGTATGACTAGATAATTTGGTTTTATCAACTGAGTTGATAATGTAAATTGGTCACCGTAAGAGTTTCTAAGCTGACGTTTCGAGCGTTCGTCCTTCGTCAGAGTGAATGAGACAGTCAGCCAGAAAGACAAACACACATACAGAGAGACGGACGGACAAAGGGACAGACAGACGGATAGGCGCTGCAGACAGTCAGACGAACAGATAGAGACACACGGACGGACACAGACATAAGCAAGAAAACGAGCAGATACGCAGACAAGTAGAGAGACCAGGGACAGACGGACGGACAGAGAGACAGACCAGCAAAATACAAGCAAGCAACCATACAGAGTTAATCCAGTATCTTCCACTAATATGATAATAATAACAATAATCGGGATCATTAATAGAGAGAAACTGAACTACACTTGCACACATACACATAGTCCTAAAATAGTCGGAGTGCGCACCTACCCGAGACGCTTAGTTAACTTGGGTTTAGGGCTACGAAGTCAGAGATTACATCTCTTTGATTCTGCAAGACTTGAGATAGTCTTGAACTTTTGCACTACTTTTTAATCAATTACAATCAAAACTAAAGCCAGTCGTGATTGGCCACTTGAGTTTTTATGTTCTATGAGCAGTTTACACGTATTCATAACTTCGAGTTCACATTGGCTCTCGGCGATAATTACCTTTTCTTTGATTGGCTGTTGCGATTGCTTTAGATGTACTTTACTGGGCCACGTGATTAGTTTTAAACTGACTCAACCCATCACATGCGAACTAAAACCAAGCACGACTTGATCACGCACTTCTCACTGAGAATTCTCAATGTAAAGGGTCTTCATTAAACTTTCATTCCCCACCATTGGCGATGATGAATATCTTTCGCTCTAGGTGTTGCACCCTGAGCACAAAACTTCACACAGATCCTCTCTGACAATTCTTCCCTTAGTTTATTCCACAAGGAAATAAATTCATTGTTGAATTGTAACATCTAACTAAGTTACAACGCACTTACAATAATGGTCAGAAGTGGAACCAGCCAGATACATGTATATTGATCAAGCAAATCAATGATAATTTATAGCCTCGATCTAGCAAATATCCAATCAAGTAAATAAATATACCGGTATATCTATAAATAATGTAAAATCTGCGTTAGTGTATTCAGTAGAAGGTAATGTGTCAGTTACATTTAATGCAAAACTCGTTAAAAACAGCGATGATGCCGTGACGTGTGAAAAGTATTGCGATTGCCGCAAATGCGTCTAAGATTTAATGAATAAATAACCAACGTAAGCTAGTTCAAGTTAGTAATTGATGCAATAATGAGTTCTGTTAACATTTTAAAATTTTGTTAAGTGTAAAAAGATTCTGCGAGAGGAACACGATGCTGGTGATTACGACGGCTAGCACACAAGAGTAGTCCTGCGTGAGAGAGGAGCGTGTCTGCTCTCTCTTGCACGCGGCTCTTTCGATCTTTTCGGGCTTTCACGCAGGCTAAGTGGTGAAACGACTTTAGAGTTTCTTTATCATAGTTCCATAACAACGCCAACAGGATGAACGACGAAAGAAATTTCCAGGAAGAAATTTCCAAGGGCCTCTTCTAAGGTACTTCTGACCTGTATATGAGAGAAGAAATAGTCATCAAATCAATGCGAAACTTGCTAGTTGAAGTACGTCTTTCCGTCATACACTTCTATACTTGATCTAAACACTTCTAAATAGTCTCCTTGGACCTTCATGTATCCTTGCGAAACGTTCCTTGCCACTGATGGTACGTTACGCAACATTTTTTGCACTATGTTTTGTCAAGCACAGCCTACCATAGTTCACAGCATGAAGCAACTAGGAACATTGATACTGGTT